CTCTTTGGCACAAAGGGTACCTTAAACCACAGCCTGGCCCTGAGACTCTGTTCTGGAGTGAACTTATGATTGTCATTTTCCTAAAATGGTTTTCTATATTAAAATATACCAACACTTCATCATATTGAGTGAAGTAAGTCCAGCAAGGTAATACAAAGTACAGTGGTGAGTCCTGAAGAGTGAGTTCCCTGTAATGGACACATTCCACTTCACTCACTGAGTTGTGATTATAAATTAATCAACCTGTCAACAAATACTGCAAGTTCTTTTATTTGAAAGAGAATGAAAGCAATGCCAAGTATTACAACAATATTACAACATTATAACAACTTGGGTCCAAATATCTGTAAGCTGAAACATCAACTATGTTGTCATCAGTCCAGATATTTGTAGCTGAGTCCTCGTGTACGTTCTGATGGAGAGCCAGCTGCAGTTCTTACACTGCGTTTACACAAACGTATGGTTCATGGGCAGAGATAAGATCGTGTTATGGGCTTCTTGTTTGCAAGACAGAGGGAAAGAATGTTCTTAGTCATAAAAACATCTATAACCTTTGAGCAAAAGTTCCCTGACAAGTTTAAAATATATACTGTAGTATCCTGTCGAGTGCAGGGAGCAGTTTCATCCAACACCAGTCTCAGTGGCAGAGCCACGGGGTGGCCAATGGTGGCTGTGACCACTATAGATTAATTTTCAGCCCCCCCCCCCCCCCCCCCCCCCCGTCTTTTAAGCAGATTTTACTTTTACTTAATAGAAAACCAGAAACTACCGTTTCCTTACCTGATAGGTGTGGTCAGGCCATCTTGGATTTAGACTTTGTAACAAAATTTTTGACAGGGACCAGTTTTATGCACACACCAAAGTACGTCAACACGTTGCTCATTTTTCTAAGTTATAAAACTCAGAAGTTTTACAAATAAACATGTATGGTGGTGGCCATTTTGGATTTGAACCTGGCAACAGTTTTCTAAAGGAAACTTTTACTCCTAGATGCAGCCACACGCCAAAATGGAAGTCGGTACCTCACTAATTTTTCACGTTTTGCTCCCGGACGGACGGCTGCGGGGCATTTCCAATCCCCCACTTTCACTCTGCAAAGGTAAGAACTTCAAACTCAACTCTTGAAATTCATCGTCTCCTCCAGTTTCTGGTGCTGCTGCTTCACGCTGTTCAGCTTCTTCGGTTGTCCGACCGCCTGTTGCAGCTTTCGGCTCATGTAGCGGCTCAAACGTAAACTGCGGCGCTCGAAGCTTCTTTTTTTATTCTTCGCCTCTGAAAGTGACTCAAATATATTGAAATAAACATCACGTACAGCAAAGCTCTGTTCACATGCAGGCGTCAGCTTTTCCAGTAACGTGACCTCAGCGTGTTTTTTTTAATAATAATCCAATAACGCATTTGTATTCATCAAACATTTGATGTCACATGCACTTTAAAACCAAGCTGAGAAAAGGAAAGCAATGACACTGGTGCGCAAGAAAAATGACAAAAGATTAGTTTTTAATCCATAAAAAGTACAGGAAGGAATTAACTCTTGTAAATAATAAGTTGTCTCTGAATGAAGTCCTCTGGTTCTCTCTGCGTACTGGACGTCTCTTTAACGAGACTAAACTTTGTTCCGTTTTATTTCATGATGCATGTTCGATCCTACAGCCAGTAGAGGCTTTTGTTTGAGGTGAACTGAGCTCCTCCGTCTCCCGACACGTTTCCCTCCTCGTGCTTTTTGACAGTAGAACAATTTAAACACAGACGGGATTTAAAGCTTTTCTGACTTTTCATTTCAAGTGAACGTTCAGTGAAACTTTTCTCCACACGTGGCAGAACATCAGCTCAGTGTGTGAACCTTCATGTGACGAGTTAGATGTGAAGTACGATTAAACCTTCGGCCACACGTTTGACAAATGAACGGCTTCTCTCCCGTGTGGATCATCATGTGTCTTTTACAGTCACATTTGGATGAAAATTGTTTTCCACAATATTTGCAAGAAAAAGGCTTTTCGCCCTTGTGCCTCCTCGTGTGGACGACTAACAGACTGAAAGAAGAGAAGTTTTTCCCACAGAGAGGACAAAAGTACTGCAGTCTGTCAGAGTTCTGGTTCCTAACAGAGTGGACCTTGATGTGACGGATCAGAAATAAATTATCTATAAAAGTTTCTCCACAGATTTTACAAGAAAACAACTTCTCAGATGTTGCTGGCTGGTCTGCTTTGTTACCGTGACGACCGATGGTGCAGTCCATTTTCTTTGGTGAACACTCTGTGTTTTCATGTGACTCTGAATCCTGATCCAGGTCCTCAGGTCCAGCAGAACTGTGAGAGATGAGCTGCTCCCCATCTTGTTCTGATTCACTGTGGTCAGGTTCTTCAAACAAAGCGGTCATCATAAACGGATCAGTCTCCTGCTTCAGCTGGAGTTGATCTTCATCCTGATTGGTGCAGAGCTCCTGCTCCTCTTCTTTGATATTTGTAGATTCTGGTTCCTCCTGGTCCAGGCTGGAGTTCCTCTCCTGGTTGCAGAGCTGCTGGTCTGTGAGGATCAGTTCTGCCTTGTGGACCGGTTCCTGCTGGAGGTCTGAAAGGACAAAATGAAAAATCAAAGGTTCAATATTAAACAGAAACGTTCAGACAGTCATGGTAGTTGTGTTTGTTTCTTACTTAATGATCAAAAGACTCAAAAACTGAGAGCAGGAGAGAATTTGAGTGATTTTAAAATTGCTAATCATCATGTGACCCCAACAGTCTGCTAATCTGGATCTCTGTAAGTTCACTCTGCAGGTCTTAACGCTCAGATCTGATGTTTCTGTGCTCTCTTGTTCTCAATTAAACGTGACCTCCATCAGACTCCAGGGTGGACAGCCCACGGTTCTGAAGCGACCCGCAGGAGAAGACGTGACGTCACACGCAGCACGCTGTGATTACAGAAGGAAACATGGAGGCTACACATGTTGGCATGTGTGGATCCATTTTGAAGTTGTGCAATCAGAACCAGTTAAAGTATTATCTGACAACTGTTTGGTCCAGTGTTTGAACTTGCTACTTCCTGTCTACTCAGGAGCAGAATAGCTCTTCTGGAAAGGAAGTAATGTAGAGAAAATAAAGACAAACTCCAGGATCCATCCCATCATCACAGTAAACAATCCAGTATGTTGGTCAATTACTGTTAGTGTTATATGTTGGTGTAGATTCTCAGTCATTAAGGACATTTTATTTTTTTATTTAGCCTTTATTTATACAGGTTAGTCTCATTGAGCCACGAGAACTCATTTTTTCAAGAGAGACCTGTTTAGGGAGCACATGGTGGGGGTTAAGGGCCTTGCTCATGGGCCCAGAGTGGGGCGAATGAGGGTGGGGGCAAGTGTGGGTATTTCACCTACCCCACCCACAATTTTGATGTTGTCGGGCGATCGGCGATCTTCGGATCACAAGCCCACCACTCTAACCTCTGCTCCACCACTCCCCCACATGACAATTCTAAAAAGACTAAAAAATAAATAAAAATACTCTGGTCTTCTGTTGTGGAGCAGGACAGAAAGAGTCCAAACACACATCAGGTTCTGGTTTCTAAAGCTGCCTCATTTGATAAAGAACCAGTGACGGAAGAGGGAGGGACAGTGAGAATCGTCTAAATGAAACAGTTTAAATCATAATGACTCGTGACGTCATCACAGCTCAGGACACGTGTGCAGAGCTAAGAGTTATTAGCCTCTTCATCAGTCTGAATACAGAAAGAAAAACAAACGCCCAACAAAACTCCGTTAGCATCATTTAGCTTTACTATCATTGTTAGCATTGCTAGCTTACTGAACCCGTTTCTCGGTTCGGTGACATTTTGAATTATCTTGTATCTAAAATCTTAGCTCTGCTAGCAATAGCAGCGGTTAGCTCTGTTAGCAGCGGTAAGCTCTGTTAGCAGCGGTTGGCTCTGTTAGCAGTGGTTAGCTCTGTTAGCAGCGGTTAGCTCTGTTAGCTGCGGTTGGCTCTGTTAGCTGCGGTTGGCTCTGTTAGCAGTGGTTGGCTCTGTTAGCAGCGTTAGCTCTGTTAGCTGCGGTTAGCTCTGTTAGCAGTGGTTGGCTCTGTTAGCAGCGGTTGGCTCTGTTAGCAGTGGTTAGCTCTGTTAGCAGCGGTTAGCTCTGTTAGCTGCGGTTAGCTCTGTTAGCAGTGGTTAGCTCTGTTAGCAGCGGTTAGCTCTGTTAGGAGTGGTTAGCTCTGTTAGCAGCGGTTAGCTCTGTTAGCTGCGGTTGGCTCTGTTAGCAGCGGTTAGCTCTGTTAGCAGCGGTTAGCTCTGTTAGCAGCGGTTAGCTCTGTTAGCAGTGGTTAGCTCTGTTAGCAGCGGTCTGTTAGCAGTGGTTAGCTCTGTTAGCAGCGGTTAGCTCTGTTAGCTGCGGTTAGCTCTGTTAGCAGCGGTTAGCTCTGTTAGCAGCGGTTAGCTCTGTTAGCAGCGGTTGGCTCTGTTAGCAGCGGTTAGCTCTGTTAGCAGCGGTTGGCTCTGTTAGCAGCGGTTGGCTCTGTTAGCAGCGGTTGGCTCTGTTAGCAGCGGTTAGCTCTGTTAGCAGCGGTTAGCTCTGTTAGCAGCGGTTGGCTCTGTTAGCAGCGGTTAGCTCTGTTAGCAGCGGTTAGCTCTGTTAGCAGCGGTTGGCTCTGTTAGCAGCGGTTGGCTCTGTTAGCAGCGGTTAGCTCTGTTAGCAGCGGTT